CAGCACAAGAAAAGAGGAAAAGAAGTAATGATACAGCAGTTTCAATGTCTTCGAATAAAGACGATTTAGATTTGGATATTTTGTTTTACAAGAAATAAAGCTAGAAATAAACTTTCACTCCCTCTTGATGTTACTTTCTCTCGTTTCATTTGATTGTATTCTCTTTAGTTAAAAAAAACTAAGTTTCTAAGCCGTGTTTCAAAAATCTAAGAAAACTACATTTTTCTGAAAACTTTTGAAAAATCCTAAGTGCATGAGAAGCAGCTTCGACATCTTCATCAGTCTTAGCGTGGTGAAAATTCTTAAAATGTGTGATTTAGTGCTTCATTTCATGGAAAATAAGCGAAATTTAACATTTTCGGAAAATCTTGGAAAATCAAAACCAGCTAGCAGATTTCTAATAGCGCCATTAGACTCACCGTCACGAATTACCTATGGGAAAGTGTTTTCATCGTTAAAAAATGTAAACTAGTCCAAATTACTGCCTGGTCTTGCATAAACTGCCCACTGTGGATCAATACCTCATTATTTAGACTTGTAGCGTGGTAAGCTCGGACTTTTTCACTCGAAAGGTGTACCATGGTAAAACTATTCGGAAAACCCAGTTCCTCGTACATCGATGTGCTCCGGTGTCTACGTTAAAAAACTGAAAATCTCTGATCTCTAGCGCTTAAAGTTCAAACATTATTCAGAAAACATCAGACTCCATTATATTTTGAAATAGATAGTAGTATTCTAAAGAAACCAAAAATGTTCAAAATTTTTGTAGCCAGTAAGGTTATCGATCAGAAAGAAAGTGATTTCAGAAAATGTCCAAAAAAAGGTCAAATAAAAGTGCAAAATCGGCTTCAAAGTGAACATCATAAAGTGTCCATTTGTTCATTTTAATAAAACTACCATTTATAGGCATTGTTACGTTTCCGATTTAGATACCTAAAAATGGTCGAAAAGTTTCCATTTGATAAACATTGGATTGATTATTAATGGGTATTTAATAAACAGTGAATCACATCGTTTTTAACGCCCTAGAAGATTCCATTTGTATTGCAGATCAAGTCAGAGAGAAATCTTATAATGCCTACTTTTTTTAAAAAAATTTCTACTTTTTTCCAGATTTTTCTTCTGTTTTCAATACGAAATATTTAGTCTTTATTTATAAAACAAGGTTTTATTTATAATATGCTCAAAAAAAACATTTCTGCAAGGATTGATTTTGTATTTTGATAGTTTAAGTTCGAGAATGATATAATAGGAATTTATATTCTCGATTTCGTTCTGGTTCAAGATTAATGCTTAAACCAAACGTTTTTCAAAATTTTTAATTATTATGCGTAGTTGATGAATGGTATCTCGATCCGCTATCGGGTTCACTCGAAAAATTCGGCAGTGCCGTTAATGTATCATCCACATAATCACTCAATACTGTATGAAATTCAACAAGATGATTTTCTTTCGATAGTATTTGTTTTCGTTCATCATATTCACGACGAATCTTATCTGTTTCCACCTTTCGTTCGAAATAGTCTTGTACATAACATGATTGAAATAGATTATGTAAAATAACATTGACTTTTAGTTGAACGTTTCGTAAATAATTCAAATTATCACGACATAATGGACATTGAACCATTTTACTCATTGATAGTACACGTTCGAGACATTGTAAACAAAATGTATGACCACATAATGTTGAAACGGGCTCATATAATAATTTCATACATATTGAGCACGTACATGTTGTATCGAGTAATTTAAGTGAATTTAGTTTTTGTTCTTTTGATATTTGTCTAGAGAACAATTTGTATTTGAGTATGCTTAATACAGATAATCTTTTTTCACATTTCACCTCCATCTAGAAATAAGTTAGGATTGTGTTCGTTTTGAACTGGTGTTCGGTGCAATTTCTATGTTTTCTTTCAAAAGTAGATTATAAAAGCAACTACTTATCAGTATCATCAATCTCTCATATTTGACTTGTCCCCCCATAATAGAAGACCGTCCTCTATTAGAAGATCATTGCCGATTATATGACTTGAAAGCCAAATAGAAGACTATGATCTTCCACACTGGTCTTCTAACTCCTAGAACCAGTGGTATTAGGTCCGCGAAAAAAATCGGAAAATGCTCTATCGATTTAGATTCAATTATAATTACCCTAAAAGGGTATGTTATTTCTACCATGTGTCAGGCGCATTTAATAGCTTATATCACAATACTTATAACTTTTTAAAGCAAGAATCACGCTATGTTTCATTTTTACCAAAAATGTTTGCTCTAGAAACACACTTGTTTAGAAAAAAATTTATCTGCATAAGTATCCAGAAACAAAACATACAGTATCAGATTTTATTGTGGAACCCCCTCACTATCTTCGACGAAGTTTGAGTAACAGTTTTATACCCCAAAACCGCTGGTTTTTAGGATAAACTTGACCCCCTATACCCCCCCTCCTCCTTGGAGGACACAACCTTTTGACGTGACTGGACGTCTCAATATTTGGAGTTCCACCTTTTAGCACACCTAAGGTACTTACTACTCTGCCAAGGTTTTTTATGAGACTTCTAGACTTACTTGTTCAAAAACCATGCAAAATCATTTCTAGCGCAGCAGATGATACGGATTCTGAAAGTATACATTTAATCTATTCGAACATGTGAATAATCTCAAAAAAAACTATATCTTTGACTCAAATCGATTTTTCTACCGGAATAAAAGGGCTTAAAGGAAATAAATTGAATTTAAAAAAGAATATTCGAAAAATGTAAATGAGGTTTTAGACACACTTACAAACTATATAGGTTTTGTACTTTTATTAGAAAATGTAAAGGATTCTTTTTTCCTCCTTTCTGTTTGTTAATATGCCTTAACATATGGTGCAACAATAATGGAGTAAATGTCAATGTCGTAGTTCTCAGCGATGAAGCGTCGAATCACTGTGAAGTGTTTTTTGTTTATTCTTTCCACTTTAACTTGAGAAGAAAAGCTTTGAAAACTAAATAGATGAGAATGTAGTTCGTGCTATTGGCACACGAAAATTGCTACTCCTAGACGATTCATAGTAGAACCTTCATGTTTTTTTATGCTGAAACTGAGACATAAGTTTAAAAATCTATGGAACAGATTTTTAAATTTCGCATCCTGTTCTGAGAATACTGAAAAATACTATTTCGGATTTCAGAATTTTTTCGGAGTTTTAACTTGAAATTAGTGCTGAAAATGAACGAAAGCGAAATTTAAAAATCTGCTCCACACTGTAAAAAAGAAAGTACTCTCTGGTGGTGTTGCTCCTATTCGTGTGTCTTGTTTTGTCGTGCTTCTGACGTGTTTGACTGGAGAACACTTTCTGAAAAGCGCTTTAAAGAAAATCATTTGCAATGCGCTTCCAGTGGTCACTTGAAAAGTAAATCAAATAAAGACCGCTACAAATAGGATCAGCGCTACAAGAGATCGCTTTTGAAAGTACTCTTCTCTAGGCCACTTTTTCGAACGACATTTGTCGAATTTCATTATATTTGATTTTGTACTTATAAATATGATTTTCTAATTTTGTTAATTTTTAATTCCTTTGAACCATGGTACTATTCTTAGTAACAGTCTCAAAAGTCCGATACTATCACTAATACTAATCCACAGGCTAAGGCTACTTCTTCGAGACAAGCTTCGATGACTTGTATTCAAGAGAAAAATTTCTAAGTTATTCGAAGAAAATCAGTGTTACATATATACTAGAGCACTAGCAAATAAGGAGATATCTCTTTTCGCACATGCATATCTTTCTGTTCTCTTTCGTTTCAATCGACGCGCTGAGACAAAAAAATGTTGGCACACGAGATATCGTATGTGAAAAGAGATATCTCCTTATTTGCTAGTGCTCTACTAATAGTAACAAGAAAATAAAAGAGGTGAATGACTTGTCAACATGACTTTAAAAAGTGTTTTTTCAAAAAAATGCTTCATGTCACACTGTTTTCTCTTGGGTCACTTCAAAAGCATCTTTCTACTATACATTTTTAAAAATGCTCTCTTTGCACTCACTTTGACAGCACATTTTTTCACGAAGTGCTCTGGTTTACAACAGATCAAAAGTGATTTATTTTCTCTATACTTGAAAGGACTATGTTTAGCCATGCGCTTTATAGCAAAACACTTTTGATAAAAATAAATTTTGTAGCACTTTATTTTTGACAGTGCATAGATTTTTCGATCGTAGTGTCGACTTTCATGAAATCATCCGCACCTGTGTACTCCTCAAAAAAAGTCTTAGCATTTTTGCTGAGAGCCCCATTTTGTCCCATGTGACAATGATAACTCGGTAGCTCTTCACTCTTTTGAACTCAAAATTTTTAGCATAGCCTAGTTAGATAGTGTGAGCGATGGTCTCACTAAATCAAATAATATTTAAAGCCGATTGTTGCTGAAAAGTTGAATCCCCTTTTATTGAAAAACTTAAAAAAAGAGATGGAAAAACAAGCACAAAACGAATAACAAGTGACGATGTGTACGATACGCAATAGCGTCTAGAAGTACTACTAAAAATGAGAAACATACACTATTTATATATCTATGGATAAAACAGAGAACAAAGGAAAAGAACCATAGTTATACACGGTTGGAAAAAATATTCTTCCAGGGGGGTAACACCATCATTTTAAATAGAGTAGATGATGAATTTTATACCAAATGAAAGCTCGTGAAAAACGGGATTTATTGATATTAAATAATAAGGGTTATGAAGACCTTAGTGTATTAAACTCTCGAAACTTATAATATTTCATTGACATGAAGTGAGAGAAAATCTATCTCCGAGGCGAAATTCGAACTAAATGTATTCCGAAATAGTTTATTTTTTCAACATTTAATGAATAGAATCAATAAAGAGTATGACGATCGTTAGCATTCTTCACTACACGGAGGCGTGATGGATACGAACGTAAAAGTGTTTCAAATAAATCAGTGTCTGTTTCGATATTGGTCAAAACATTTGTAATATGCACTGTGAGTATGTCTTCAAGATACCGATTATGTCCAGTTTCTGATAACATTTTTTTCTCAACTTCATCTTTGATTATTGATCCAATACGTTCTGCTACATTGAGATCAAGTGAATTTTCGGACCAGATGTCATTACCCCAAAACTTCACATTGTTGTCTTGAAGCAAATGTTGGTTTTATTTGCTCGCATACACGGTGCCTTATGAACAAATGTAACTTCATCAGGATCAATAACATTTTCTTCATCATTTAGAAAAGGTATTACATTTTGAGTTAGAGTTTTTGGTCTTTCAAGCCGGTAAAAGCAGATTATAACTTTTCTATTTTACAGAATTATATAAACTTCAAGAGTTTAATACACCAAGGTCTTCATAACCCTTCTTATTTAGTATCAATATATCCCGTTTTTCACGGGCTTTCATTTGGTATAAAATTCATCATCTACTCTATTTAAAATGATGGTGTTACCCCCCTGGAAGAATATTTTTTCCAACCGTGTATATGAACGAGAGAGAAAACGAATAAATGTAGAAAACAAGGGACTGGACGAAGGACGAAAATAATTCTTTAATAACACATGTAGAACCTAGAAGTCACGCGGCTAAACGTGCGACGAGATGATGCAATAATATACGCTTAGATTATGATTACGCGTTATGTGCCAGGCCTAGGTCTGTAACAGATAGTAGGCATTAACATATGTAAGTTTTCGTTAAGATTGCTTGTAGAACAAAAAAGTTATTTCCTCAGGGATTCTCTTATTGCGAACTGATCAAAATGGTTCTGTTTCATATTTTCCAAAATGCACGTATTAAAATATGTGCTACTGTCAGTTTAAAGCACAGTTTGTTGACTTCTACTAAGGAAGCTTTAACTATGCAATTTATATTGTAGAAGAAGGAAGGTCTACCACATCTATGGTGGGTGTTACCACACATTTTCATAAGTTCAAAAATATGAAATGAGTTCTGATTATGAAGACGTCATATTTGCTACAAATGCATGTTTCATTTTCAACTCTTCCACGTGCAATATAACATATGGTGCAAAGGTAATGGTGTAAATGTCGAGCATGATTTCTCCATCTTTCCGATGTGTTGGAGAGTTAATTATTTTTCCGTTGGAAAGGGCAAAGTCTGAACTTTGTAAAACATAGAGAACAAATTTTTTTCTGATTAAGTTTGAGTGGGAAAAATCTAAATAGGAAACATCGTCAAAAAAATTCTTGCAACTATCGCTCTCTTCAAACGTGTTTCTCTCGTCAAGCATATTTGTTCCCTATAATAGAATATGTCTGAAATTATATAATTGAAGAAACCAGAAGTGTTTTTATCGCTCTTTCGAATGGAGGATGATAAATTATCTTTCGGTCCACTTTTCAACCAGAAATTCGCAAATGTTTCATTAGTTTTCAGAAACGTAGTTAATTAGATTTAATTAATAATTTACCACCTTCCTCCTTTTTCTAAAAGCATTTTTTGAAACAGCATTCAATTCTCAGGCAAATTCATGTTATTTAAAATCTTTACTAATGTATTTTGACTCATAAATAAAGAAATTTTCTCGATGTATCTGTGATCTTCCCAAACAAGTGGAGCTTTTCTACTAAAACTGAGTATTTTTACTATAAAGGAATTATTAAGGAACTTTACGAATATAGACGGATCAGTAGAGTTTCGCATGAACCATATTCTCATCTATTCAATTTTCCAAGCTTTTGAAAAGCTTGGAAAACTGAATAGATGAGAATGTGGTGGAGAAGGCTTCTCTGGCTGGCGTGAAAAACATTAAAAAAAAGTACGCTGCAAAACCTTTTCGAGGTCAATCAGAAGAATTGGATAAATAAAAGAGTTGTTTGCCAGACAAAGGACGAGGGTCGATAAGAGGCCAATTCGGCCCCCTCTCAGATCAAGCTTATATTCACAAGTCTGATGTAGTTTTTTCTGCTTTAATATTGACGTCATAGCCAAGTTTAATATTTGTTTTTTTTCTAAAAAATAATTAGATATTTTTCTATCTTACAACAAGAAAAATATTTAAATAAGATAGAAAAATGTTTAATTGATTTTTAGTATTAGTGATTTAATATTTTTCTTTTTAACATTTCGGCATACCCGTATTTAACATAATTCTTATGGCAAAACTTAGAATATTTTCTTTCTTCAACCTCACACATCAACTGAGCACAAATAAAGTGCATGATCATACCAGGCAGGAAAACCAATGTTGAGAAAATCGAGGTTTTCTGGATAAGTGATTGGCTACTACCACCAGCATTTAAAACACAAGTTAAAATGGATTGATGTCTTTTTTTGGATGTACCGATCGGAGGACAAGGAGCTATTATCAGCTTCTGAATTGACTAAATTTAAAGTATCACTAAGACAAAATTTATGAAGGTGGTCACAAGCCAGTCTCGCCCACTTGGAAAGAAGCACAATACTAAAAGTTTGCTCTCTGAGCTGTCTAGTCTACCGTTTCTCACTTATCACAGTCGACTCAAATAGCATCGATGAAATTCAAAAGATGGCAAATGCTTTTGTGTGGAGAAGAAAACATCCCTGATCAGTTTCAAAACCATAATCGGAAAAAAGACAGACGAAGGTTTTGCTGTATTAGATAACAAAACAATGGTAGAAGGTTTTCGAATTAAATGCGGCCTACGTCAAATGTCTAGCTCTGCTGCTAAATGGAAATTTTATGTTCTACAATCCAACAATATTTTGATCCAAATGAGATATCTTCAACGACTTTCGTTGCTTTATTCACTAGAGAAGGATTTTGGAGATTTTCAGCTTCCGATAGCTACTGAAAATCAGTACCACAAATATTTAAATAATCAGATTCTGTTAATCTCTAGCATTATGTGTTAGTTTCATTTTGAAACCAACCCGAGCTCTTCACACTCTACCTGGATGAAAAATTTTGGGAAATATGAACAGTTCCGTTTTGATCACTGTTGCGGCTACATCTCGTGAACGGATAAAGATTAAATTAAAAAAAGGTTTCATCACTATATTTTGACACGGTCGACATTTTCTGAAAGTTTTCTCAAGATCCGACTTAAAGGGTGGCCCAGAAGTCCTGACTCGATTTGTATAATAATTTTTCTAAAGTAAAACACGTGTTTATAAATTTCTCTCTATGATGAAAGACGCAGTAAAACACGCTCTACAAAATGGCTTTTGATTGACTCCGCCAGCTCATATAGTAAGAAAGTTATAGACTTAGAAATGTGCTCCACAAAAAAGAAAAATTAACCATGAACTCTCTTCGTATGGTGGTGCTTTCAGTGAAAGTCTCGTAACTCCATCAAAACAAAAGATTTTTAGATTGAGTTTGTTTTGTTTTGATCAGAAATCATTCTCTTCTCTACCTAACTGCAAAATCAAACTTCGATCACGTTTTCTATTTCTTGCTTGGGCACATTGTCGGAAACGGAGGTTTTCAATTTTTAAAACTTCATTCTCGAGTACACCATCTATTCTGAGAGAAATTTTTTACAGACCACGAGAAAGAGTGCATTCGAAAGTAGCAAACATAAACTAGGTTCTCACTTTTGCTAAGCTTTTTTACGGAAATAACAGGAGAAGAAAAAGTTCGCGTCGAAAAAAATACTGAATTTACAAAGTTTTCATTTTTCAGCCTGGCGTATAATTTGCTTAGTTTTCTTGATTGAAGTTCTGAAATTAAAGTTTAGATATGATTTTGTAGAGCACTGCATGGCGCTTCTATTAAAAAAATAATTTGTTCTAGGGGACCTAAGAAACAAGGGTTCAAGCAAAAATACGAGATCGGGTTCACCGTTAGTTTTTCTTTTTTGTGAAGCACATTTCTAAGTCTATAACTTTCTTAATATACGAGCTAGCGGGGTCAATCAAAAGCCATTTTGTAGAGCGTGCTTTACTGCGTCTTTTCATTATAGCGAGAATTTCCAAACATGAGTTTTACTTTGTAACATCAAATTGTAATTTCGGCGACATCTACATATTCTGCTTGATATTGGCTACCTCCATTACTAATGGAAATTTGATGATTCATTCAGTCATTGTTTTTCTTTTTTACTCTCATGCGTATAAGCAGCACATTACTATAATAGATTTTTTGCATTTCGTTTTTTTTGCGTTTCGTTTTTATGGCTTTTTCGAGTTGTTTTTGTTTTACATCAAGTAGTGACAGACTGATATTTTTTACAAGTGGGCCTGTTGACTGTTCTTTCATTCTTTGATGACATTGTCATTATAACGCTATTAATAAAAAAGAAAACTGTAGGCTAACACCTTCTCCACGTTTATATTTCAGATGGCAATTCGTTCAGAAACCGTTGTACGAATCAGTTTTCCATATTTGACAAATTTGATTGTTAGTATGCCATTTTTTGGCATGATAGCTAGTTTCATAACTAGCGTATTATTTACAAAAGAACAAATATTTGAGTCTGAATGTGGTTCACTTAATTTTATACCATCAATGTCTTCCGTTATTGGCGTTTCACCTGGAAAATATATTTGGCGTATGTGTATTGCTATTCATTGTTTTCCCCGATTTCTTATTGCTTGTCTTTATCATAATCAATTCAATACATGTTTACAAAAATTAAAAATAAGATGGAATCAAGCCAATAATAGTGCCTATGATGCTACATCAAAATTTTCTGTACATACACTCATGAAATATCTTATAAGACTCAATACATGTTTAGGTAGTTTAAGATAACTTCATTTTGAATTTAATTTAAACATCTTTGAATATTGATGTTTGTTTAGAAATTTGTGAAGTTATCTGTCTCATCTTTATATCATATATATCAACAAAAGAAAATTATACACTTCATGAAAAAGCATTTATCACATTTATGCTTTCATCAACAATGAGAATGATTACCTGTCTCATTTTATTTCGTTATCTTTTATTTAAACCGTATGAACGTCGTCTAATTCGTTTAAATCAAAATGCTACGAGCAAACAGGAAAATCAAATGAAAAATAATTTTGAATCATCTTATCGTTGGAAATTTCGTCTATTTTATTCGTCATGTTTTTTTTCGGCAATACTCATTTATTTTTATTTGAAACATGTTTTCTATTGTTCGAATGGAGTTGGACAAGGAAGTACAGCATGGAGTTATTTTTCACTATGTGAATATATCATTTGTATGCTTATAATGGGATATCATGCTACTGTACGTAGATTTTCTAACGTTTTGTTTTTCGTTAATCTCTGACATAATTATCAACATTTAGTTCTAAAATTCATTTGATATTCGTCTGTATATTTTTAGGTATGTTGGGATTTTAATCATTTTGAATTGACTATTTATAATAAGACGACAACAAAATTAAATTTTTCATTATTAACATCAGAAAATGAACAATCGGACGAGAGTGATGTGGATTATAACCACAGTGATAATCATTCGAAAAAAATTGAATAAACAAATAATAAATGAAAAGAAAAACATGTTATTTTTTCTCTCTTATTCTATTTTTGCATTTATTTTTGTTTGTTTAATACGTACACAAGATGATTACTATCACTTCTAGAAAAATAGTTTTTGTGCTATTTTGTCATGATTTATCGAGTTTTAGTTTGCGATATATAGCTGCCAGTGAAAATCTGCTTTTGCTACGTGTGTGTTGCGATTTTTTTCGTTTTTTTTTTGTTTTTTTTTATTGTCTTGAATCACATAATCTGTGAAATAAATACCACCATTTTCTAACACTGGGCTCAATCTGCGATTTTCAATCAAAGGTGAGTTATGTTAGACTGTGACATTTTTTTTATTTTGATAATTAAGTAGTATGTCACAATAAAATACGAACTGAACTGTTTATTAAATATCTTCTTTGATAATTCAATGATCTATTAAAGTCGAAATAGTGATACATGATTCTTAACATTCAACATTTAGGAAGTGTGGAGATATTTAGTCGTTTGTACAGGACATTTAATTCCATTGCATTTTCTCGCTATATGATTACTGTCCCATATTTACTGATTTATTCTAGAACGAAAATAATTGATCGATGAGTCAATTATTATCGATAGCTTGGCTGTTAAGTTGTTCTATCAACTGTAGAAATATTTAGAGTTAATATTTATACGTTATTACTGGTATTGATCAATTTATGTAGTTTCGTTCATTTTAATGAAATAATGAATATTGTCATTGTAAAACCATCACAATTCATTGTCAACATATCATCATTGAATTGAATTTCACAATCAGTAGTAAGATCATCTGAACAAACAAAAATCCAATACATTAGTTTGTTCACATACTAACAGCAGGTTTGGACATAATAAAAACGTTGCTCTTCATTTGAACAAGTAAAGATCAGAAAGTACTAACAAGAAAGAAGCTAAACATCTCAATATGCCAGCTACTGAATGTCTTCAAACATCGTAATTTCAATTTATACATTTAATATGTTGGTGTTTAAAATATGAGAACATCATGGTTCTGTTGTTCGTGGTATACTTTAAAGTGTTTCGAATCTCGTCATCGACAAGTTGTGTAATAAATCTAGGTAAGTTATTTATGTTTGAGTGTCGAGAATTATCCGTTCTATAGCATACTCATTACGTTATTAGAGACACCGTAGTTCATTTGGCTTGAGAGAAAGTTAATATGTATTGTACTAGGAACTTAAGCAATTGGATTGGTTGAATGAGAGAGATAAGAATGGAACAGAGATGGACAAGTCCAGCTTAAAGAAAATTAAATATAAATATATAAAAATTAAAGATATAAGTTATATCTTTAATCACTAACCAAAGCGTGTAGAAAGACCGTTGCATCATACTAGCCTTCCGATCAGAGTCATGGTTAATAATTAGTAAAGAGATGAGCGACCAGTTAGACAGAATACATTTTGTATCGGCTCGATTGAGGTAAAGGGTTTTGTGACATAATGGGTTTCTTAAATAAGCAACAGAAAATCTAAGAACTCGGCATGATAAAAACTAGCATACCCACTGACAATATTATTAAACAACAAATGAATTCATGAATAGCTGCTTCTACTAACAGCAGATAATAAAATGAATATTAGTAAACAAAGTCTAAATGGGTTTATAAAATTTCTAGAAATTCAGGCAACAGCCTTCAAAAGTTTGAGTGAATCGCAACATCATTGTACCGTTCATAGTCTATAATGTTTTGAGCATGAAATACGTTCTACTGACCGAAATATCATTTTTCTTGTAATATTTTACTTGCCGACATTAATATATTCATTTCTGAAAAAATGACATATCTAGCTTCTATTGTTTCTGCGATTAAGGGTGGGACAGTTCTAGTTCCTATAGTTTTTAAGAACTGGTCACTAGTTCAGTTCCTGCTGAACGGGAGCTGGTTACCAGTCCTTTTCACGAATTCAAAATAAAGTAAAACCGATGTAACTAGTTATACTGACTTGGTTTAGTCAACTAAATACACCATCTACCTCTGGCACTATACAAAGTCAATGTAATTAGGTTCACAGGTTTAATTTCAATTTTAATTTTTTGAAAACAACTGGTACCAGTTCTCGTGCTTTTGAAAAGACTGAACTGGAACTGTTTCTTCCCTATCTGCAATATGACTGCAATACTATGCGAAAAAGTTGTTTTTTATCATTGTTAAATAAGATAAACAATTTTTTTGCGTACAAGTTTAATATATTTTTTCATTTTTATGTTTCGTTTGTAGCTGACTTTACGAGCTGTTCAGATATATATATGCTTGGAATTGAAGTCAATATAAACTTAAAAATGCTACTGTCTTAACATTACAATTTTTAGTAAGATTTTTAAGGGAACCAAAGCTGGGCAACTCAACTCCGGAGTTGAGCGTTTCTTTTGCGGAGTTGGAGTTGAGTTGTAGTTGGCTTTTTAAGCGATCGCAGTTGAGTTGATAACAGATTTTGTCAACTCCGAAACTCCGGTTCATAATTTCTTCAACTCCATTTCCTTTTCTTTGCGAGAGTTCTTTTTGTCTGATTTTTGTCGCGAGCAATATAAACGTGTGCTTAGCATATAATAACATGATACACCTCACGTCTGTCTGCACATGTATCACACGGAAGGAAAAGAAATGCGTGTTGTGACCACATGGTAGGTTCGAAAGGAAAGAAAAAGAGAAAAATCTGCTCAGATTGCGATAATCTTAATTCTCAGAACGGCGAATATCCCTAGTGGAAGTTCTTGAAGCCAAGAAAGCAAGATCTTGGGACATTTCTTGGCCAAGAAATAATTCTTGGGCTTTCTTGTGCATTTCTTGGGGCAAGAAAAGTTTTTCTTGACCAAGAAATAATTCTTGGGATTTCTTGGGGCAAGAAAACTATGCTGTTGCAAGAAAAATCTATTCTGGCAAGAAAGTTATTTCTTGTAGCGAAAATATCGTACGAAGTTGGTACCAGCAGATAAAAT